AGGTGGCCAGCGTGAGCGTGCAGCTGGAGATGAAGGCGCTGTGGGACGAGTTCAATCAGCTGGGCACCGAGATGATCGTCACCAAGGCCGGCAGGTCAGGGTGCCCCCCTCCCTGCCCGCGACCCTCCCCACGTGGCGCGGGTCTCGGGCAGCGCGTCTCGGTCCGATCCACACGAGTGGAGTCGAGAAGCGGGGTGGGGGCGCGGCCCCGCCACCTGCGGGCCCCTCTAGGCGCGAGCCGGCTCTTCGCTCTCTGCGGTCCCGGCTCCGGCGACAGCCGCCTGGCGCGCCGAGCGGGGCCGGAGGGGACGGCGCGGGCAGCCTTGGAAGGCTGGTGGAGAGAAGCCCGGCGGACCGGCTTGCCCCTTCCGCAGCCCCAAGGCACCCGCGGCCGGAAGCCTGGGCCGGCTCGGAACACACGGGGCTAGGGGTTAGGCAGCCACCCCTGAGCGGCCTTGCCAGCCAGCCAGCTCCCAGTGGATCCCACCTCAAAGGAAATTCACGTCTTTAGTTACCCAGTTCACTCTATACGGGTTAGGTAAAGAGGGGTAGCTAGACAATTGTCTGGAAATTTTTTGGAGAATGTTAAGACCCTTAAAAACAGTTGCTCTCTTCCGTGAAGGTTGCTACCCAGTTTTCTCCGGCCTAAATTTCGGGTGATTGTGGGGCCTGGCGTTGCTGCTGGGGCTGCTGCCTTCCAATTGGCCTGTATTTGTTTTAAGGGCCCAGAGAGAAGGGGAACAAGTTTTGCGATGCAACCGATTTGACCAGCAGACAAAAGAGGGTGCCGGGCTGTGTCTAATGTACACACGGAGACACCAGCTCTGCGTCCACACAGCCAAGGGGAACTCAAGGCCTGTTTGCAGAGCCTTCTCGCGGTTTCTGTTTCCCTGCCGCGGCTGTCCTCCCTGGGGATCCTGGGGCCTGTGCTCAGCTTCAGCTCTGCAGGTCTTCTCCAGGCTCTCCTTACTGTCCCCTGAGGACGGTGCCCCAGCCTCTGGCCCAGTCCAGTGCAGCAAGGGTGTTGGCAGTGGCCAGGCTTCAGCCCAGAAGCCAGCATTCTGCAGCACCCACCAGCCTGCAAAAGTGGGGGTGGCAGGTCTGACCAGGAGGGCTGGCTCCATGGCATCTGTGTTTTGCCCACTGCCTGCAGGGAGTTGCCTATGAGGCAAAGCCATAGGAAGGGCAGGTGGGAGCCAAGCCTCATGCTGTCCTCCGGGGCCCCAGTGGTTGGCAATGCTGTGCTCTCAGGACAGGGCCGGCCCAGGCTGGCGGCCCATCCAGGAGCTGCAGAATGTCCTTTTAAGAGCCTGGATGGGTCATAGAGTCGGAGTCTGGGGGAGGGGAGAGTTAGGGGACATGAGAGCATAAGCCAAGTTCTCCCAGAGTAGCTGCATCCCATCCGGGGTGTAACAGTGGTGGTGGGGGGGGGGGGGCACTTGTATCCCTGAGGAAGATGGGGGGACTCCAGCAATGGGCTGGAGACAGAGCCTAAAAATTGGGTCTGTGGGCTCTGAGGCCTCAGCCTCACTGGAAGGATTGGGGAGCAGCCCCATAGACCCAGCCGAAAGGGCAACTGGGACTCTTGGGAACCACATAAGAGTGCCCCGGTTTCATTTTGTTCGAGCCGGGAGTTTACATCGGTTGCTTAGATGGAGCTGGGGGAAGCTCTGTGGAGGGCTGAGAATGTCTGGAACCGCATCTTGGGAGTCTTACTGATCCGGTGCTGCTGGCTGAGGCTAGCTTTGGACTGGACAGCCAAGAATTAGCAAATGCTAGGCTGGTTCTACGCAGGCAAATGTGGCAGACGCCGTAGACCAATGTTGGGGGGGTGGAGGCTTAGCTGTAGTGTTTAGTGAGCCATTTTGGGGTTTTGAAAAAGGGAGCAGGGGGCTACTCTGCCCTTCCACTTGCCCTTGGCTGGGCAGGGGCCTAGTTGGGTTAGAGTAGCTGACTGAGAGGAGAGGAGTTGGAGGGGCCAGGCCGATGAATGCAGCCGCCGGCAGGAAGCCGCCTGTCCTGGGTTGGTCAAGGTGGGGCAGCCCTGCCCTCCCCCACCTGAGGTGACTGGAGGCCTCGCTGCCCCCAGGCGCATGTTCCCCACATTTCAAGTGAAGCTCTTCGGCATGGACCCCATGGCCGACTACATGCTCCTCATGGACTTCGTTCCAGTGGACGACAAGCGCTACCGGTGAGCGCCCAGCAGGATCAGGGAGGGTGCCCTGGGAAGTGGCTGGTCCCTGCTTGGTGATGCCTCGGAGGGCAGCCCACGAGGACATTAGTGCCCGGGAGTCCCAGGCACCTGCGCCGCCAGCCCCACTGTCCCCCATGACCTGCTCCCTCCCCAACCCGGTCAGACCCCAGACCCACACACCCCACCCCCAGCAGTACTCCCCTCAGGAGTCACACAGGCTGGGCCCCTCCACCAGCTCTAGGCCCGAGACAGCTCCCACGCCCCTGGGCCAGATTGCCTGAGGCAGGCAGGCCCCTTGCACACAGCCCCTGCCTTTTCTTCGTGTCTCCTTCTCCCACGAGGTGAGCGTGGGCACCTTGTCCCCTTCCCCCATCCCCCGGGAACGCTGGGCCCCGGAGCCGAGCAGGAAAGGTGGGGTGGCCGGGAGAGATTATGCTGGGCGGGCCTCAGCTGCCCGGACAATTAACAGCAATTAATAAAGAGAGCGTGGTCCGCCCTGCGCCTGAGGCTGCCGGCGCAGCCAAATCCGGGCTCCCGCCGCGCAGGCGACACCGGAGGCGGCGGTGGGGAGGCCCGGAGCAGGCAGACCCGCGTGCAGCGAATTGTGGCGCCCGGAGCCCAGCCTCCTCCCTTGGTGCCCGGCTTCCTGCTGTCTTGTGTATTGGGACTGGGGGGGGAGTTTTGTTTTCTTCACAATTCCCCTTGGAAAAGCTCCCGGTCTGTGTGGTAGCCGAAGGCTTGAGTTCACCGATGATAGGAAAACTCATGAGAGGCACTTTGGGGGTTCACTGGGCAAGGCCCTCTCTGTTCACCCTACGTGGCATGACCCCTGTTCTGGTGTTGCCCCAGGTATGCCTTCCACAGCTCCTCCTGGCTAGTAGCCGGGAAAGCAGACCCTGCCACACCAGGCCGTGTACACTACCACCCTGACTCGCCTGCCAAGGGTGCACAGTGGATGAAGCAAATTGTGTCCTTCGACAAGCTCAAGCTGACCAACAACCTGCTGGACGACAACGGCCATGTGAGCAATCCTCCCACCTCCCCAGGCTACCCTGGGCAGGCCCTCTGGAGTCCCTGTTGACCAGAGCCAGAGGCCGAGCTTGGGCTGTGAATGAGGGCCAGGCTGAGGAGAGGGGGCCCCTCCAGTCAGGGGCTCAGGGCCTGGTGGCTCTCAGGCCTGGGAGAGGCTGTCACCTTGTTTCCCTTGCTCTATTCCTGATCTTTTGCTGGAGTCTTTTTTTTTTTTTTTTTTAACTGGAAAGGATGGTGTGTGGGGGTAGCCGCAGGAGGCTTTGTAGGATCCAGGCGGCTGATGCCGCTTTCCTGCTGGGCTGAGCTCTGGCCTGCAGCCGCCTACCACTGCCCGCTGTAGGCCTGAAGTAGTTCTGAAGGACCTATGGGAAGAGAATCCAAACTCTGATCTTTTGCCATTTGGGGTATCTTTCCTGGTGGTCCCCAGTTGACTGCAGTCTCCGCTTGAGCCCCATGGCTGAACCTCATTTCAGGAATTAAGGGTTTCGTCCAAGTTCTCTGGGAAATTCACTGCTTATCTGGACCTTCTCCCATTTCCTAGTTCCAAACTTGCCACCTTGTCTTCCAGATTATTCTCAACTCCATGCACAGATACCAGCCCCGCTTCCATGTTGTCTATGTGGACCCACGCAAAGATAGTGAGAAATATGCTGAGGAGAACTTTAAGACCTTTGTGTTTGAGGAGACTCGCTTCACTGCGGTCACTGCTTACCAGAACCATCGGGTGAGACCCTGGGGATGCAAAGTCAATACTTCTGGGTTGCAATTTGCAATTGCTGCCTGAGGGAAAGAGGTTTGGACCCAAAGACTGCGGGTCCTGGTGGAACACAACGGCCGATGGAGTCCCACCCTCAAAGGCCTCAAGCAGCCTCCTCCCCTCTGCTGCAGGCCAGCCCAGACTCCTATCAGGTTGACCTTTCCAGCGGCAACTGTCAGTGCGGCCTGAAAGTTTGTTTTCCAAACCATTCCGGAAACTCCCCATCAGGGGCCTGATCCACGGTTTACCCAAATTCCTAGGGCATCCCCTCCCACCCCCCCACTGCAGGGTGGGCGGTGGAGGTGACTACATTCCCATCCCAAGCAGGGGCCCTGGGTCTCCATCCCAATCACTTGGGGCCGCAAAGGGGATCCTTAGGGAGAAAGGAAGCTCCCCCTTTGGCAGCAGAAAGGCACAACTCTCAGCAAGGGAGAGTAAATGTGGGAGGGTTATTGTCCCGGAAGAGTAAAAGGGCTCTTATTGGGGGAGCCCCTTCTAACATTAGGCTACCCTGGTGCTCCAGGCCCCAGCACAGGGGCTCCGGCCACTTGCTCAATGCCCACTCCCCAACCCCCCCTCCTCAGATCACGCAGCTCAAGATAGCCAGCAACCCTTTCGCCAAAGGTTTTCGAGACTGCGACCCGGAGGACTGGTGAGTGTCCTGTAGAAGTGATGGCTACAGTTCAGGAGACTGGCGGGGTGCCCCCCTGACCCGCTGCCCTTCTCCCTCCCGCAGGCCCCGAAACCACCGGCCCGGCGCGCTGCCGCTTATGAGCGCCTTCGCTCGCTCGCGGAACCCGGTGGCCTCCCCCACACAGCCCAACGGGTCAGAGAAAGGTAGGGCCCGGGTCGTGGAATTGGGGCCGCGGCCCTGCGCGCGCTCCGCCCCGGGCAGGCGGCCGAGGCTGGCCTCGCCTGCGCCCCAGGGGCGCTCGCGGCCTTCGCGCCGGTTGCACA